AACAGGGCTGGGTGGCTTGCCCAACACTCCCCATACAATGCTAGTGAACAATAAGAGGATGGGGGGAGGAGGAGGGTGGGCCTGTGGTCTTTGGGCAGGAATAACAGGAATGAAGTGACCCTGGGCATGTGCCAGACGGCCGGGGCTGGGGCATGGAAAGGAAGAGAACTCCTGCAGCCGTGCTCAGGGGACTCAGGCCAGCGGGACACCAGGCGCCACAGGACTGGAGAGACTCTACCCGGAGCAGGACAGAGGGAATGTGTGAAGAACACACCCCTCGCATACACCAGAGAGAGAGAGAGGAAGAGGCAGAGGCTAAAACACCAGGTGACCCAATGGGCCAGGGAGCGAATGCCAAGGTGCCCTTACCTGAGCTGGGCTCCTCCAGTCCCGCCCCAGCAGCCTAGGTGACAGGATGATCTTACCCCGTTCGCAGCATCTCCCTCCCCCTCTTCCTGTCTGTTCGCACACTTGCTACGTCTTGGCTTCCGTTAGACCCGGAGCTCTGCGGAGCAGGAACCTTCTCTCACTCTGTGATCGGGCATCGTTAGGGTACACGACGGGCAGGGCTACATGACAGACGGGCAGGGCTGTGCACGTCTGGTGAAGAGAGCTCTGCCGTCGCCATGGTAACTCCACCTCTGCAAGAGGCGAGAGCTGTCCACACCAGCGCCTGGGTGGGGATCGCTGACGTCGCTCGGGGTGAGATCCCCCAATTGGATTGAAGCAAAGCACTAGTGGGGCATTATGGATCCTGGGGGGCCCAGGCTGGAGACGAAGGCGCAGGATCAGGGCAGGGACAGGACCTAGGCTGTGGTTGTTTGCAAGGCCGGGGACCCACTGTACAGAGACACAGGGCCCCACACACTTCCCAGGACATGGGCTGCGGGTGTGAAATCTGCCTGTGCCCAGAGGAAGGGTCCTCACCTTCTCATGCTGCAGCAGGGTGACATAGGGCACCGGCTCACGCACCTGGCTGTGCTGCGTCATCTGCACGATGGGACCCGCCATCTCTGCAAAACCAAACAGACAGGAGAAAATGGGCCCGGACGGCGAGCAGGGCGGGGAGAAACGCAGTTCAGAGCCTCAGGGACCACGCAGCCCAAATACCAAATACTGGGAAGTGTGTCCGTGCTGCACCCTGGCTGCGACTGGGCACATCCCCAGCCCAGGAAATGGGCTGGCCTGTTCCCTTAGCAGGGCAGCTTGCTCGCCCCCTCACACCGTTCTGTGGTAACCCGATGCTGGATCCAGGCACTTCTGAAAAAACACACCTGCTCAGAGGTACTTCCTAGGGCTCTCCCGCCCCGAGAAGGGCGTACCCGGAGGAATGACTATCGCCGACATACAGGACTAGCCTGCTGCAGCTGCTCCTGGGGCATGCGCCCCCCCAGTCTGTTTAGACTGGCAGCCCTTTGGGGAAGGAATCCTGGCTCCAGATCGGTCTGCAGAGCGCCTAGCACACAGTCAGCACGATCTGCCACTGTAATGCGAGACCGTTGGGCCAACAGGGCCCAGCTATCACTGCTCTGCGTATCTTAGCTGTAGCCACGCACAGCATTAGCAGAGCGCTCCCCTCCATGGTCCACGACCATGCTCCGTGGCACAGAAGCGCGTTTCAGATCAAGAGTCCGACAGCTGGTTTTGCCTTTATTCTTACGTCTTAGAACGGCTGTTTACACTGGCTGTACTAAAACAGAGGTCAACGGTCAAAGCCAGAGGTCAGTGGGCACACGCTCAGCAAGTTACCTGGCGGGAAGGCACATGTGGGCAGGGTGCCTTCACACTCTATTGGCCCTGCCGTCCCCTCCATATGTGAGTGACGGACATCGGCCCCTCTGAATTGGGCCCCAAGCGTCCGTTTGCTGAGGGGTTACTGGGCAGGCTGTGTCACTTATTTCTCCAAGGAGCCAGTGGTTTAATAGGAATTAGCTGAACAGGTCTGCTCCGGCCCCTGCTCTCCCCACTGAGAGAAAGGCAGAGGACTGAATCATTTCCTTGAGGGGCTCTCGTGGGAGACGCTGCACGCTCAGCTCTGACTCACCCTCAGGGTATGTCTATGCTACAAAATTAAGTCGACCTAACTTCCATGGGCATACAGCCGCCACAGTAATTGCAGTGCTCATGCATGTCTACACTTCGCTCCTTGTGTCAGTGGTGTGCGCCCTCACCCGGAGCGCTTGCGGCGATTGGCCTGTCAGTGTGGGGCATTGTGGGACGGCACCTGGAAGCCAGTAACAGTCGACGTAACCAACGCAGAGTCAGGCCAAGGGACAGAAGCAAGGTGTAGGGGCAGGACCAGAGATGGCACAAGGATCAGGAACGAAGCTAGAGTGAGGCAGGAACTTGGAACGGGATGGGAGCAGGACAGATGCCGATCGCAGGAGACAGGCAAGGAATGGGATCCGATGCACCAGCAAGAGAGACTTTACACAGTTGCTCGGACCCCGCTCCTTACCTGTCTCCTTCAATCTGCATCCAGCCCTGTTCCTGCTCTGCTCCCTGTCTCGCCTCCGTCCCTGCTCCCAGGTCCTGCCTTTGTGCTGCTCTGTGCCCGAACCTCACCCTTCTCTGGTTCCTGCCCCTACACCATCACTCCTGACCACTGGTTCCAGCTCTGACCCGACTCCAATGCTGACTCTTGGCTTGACTCATGCTCAGACCATGAGCCAAGACCGCCCACATCCCGGTTTGTAACAGCTGCTTGGACAACCCACCCCGGGTCACTTCCTGGCTGAAATAATGGGTGCAAGCCAACTGGGCGACCCAGGCCTTGGGCGTCCGATAGGACTTCCTGGGGGGCCTGACCTGCCAAGATTAGGGAGGTGCTGCTTCATCTGTCTCCCTTGGTGGTGACAAGGGAGTATCCGAGACTTGGGGCTCCCAGAGCCCCAGGTTCTAGACCCGCTGAAACGAAGGACCTGACTCAGCTCCTTGCATGCATGCTAGTCTCTCGGGCCATAGAAACCCTGTCAGTGTTGCTAAGCCCGATAAAGGAACTGCTAGTGTCATACTTCCTGGGCCACTGGGCTTGGAGCACTGCCCTTGGAGGGTCAGCTCCTCCCAGTGGAGCAGCCAGGAATGGGCCACACAGAGGCTGCAGGTGGCATTGGAATTTCTAATTGTGGGGGTGGGGAAGGAACCCAGCCTTGCTCTCACCTTGAGGAAGAGTCACTTGATGGGTGCTGGCCACTGTTTCCCAATGAGAGAACAGCCTGTTCTGTTCTTCCCCATCCATTGGCTCCTCATCTTCATCGAGGGACTCATCGTCCAATCCATTGAGGTCCTCCAGGGTAATGCGAGCCATGCCAACGCCACAATTCCTGCTGCAGGGGGAGAAAAGAAAAAAGCAGAGCGTTTAGTGCAACCCTGAGAGCCCGCAGGAAGGGGGGGCAGCGTGTGCTCTAGATGCGAGAGAACTGCAGGCTTGGAGTGGTACATGCCAATACAAACAAGTCTGGGGTGAAGAGAGGGGGCAGGGCCTGGTAGAGCTCAAACACTACTCTATTCTCCTCCCTACCCCCTCCATTCAGTCCCTGAAGAAGAGTCACCTGAGAAGCTGAGGACCAGACTGGAGAGTCAGCAAAGACAGGCGTGACTCAGGTGGGGGAGTAGAAATGGTGCAGACAGTGCCAGTGACTTCCTGGCTGGTAGGGACACCAGGAGGAGGTGAACTAAGGTCACCACATTGACACAGCCCTTGGGATTATTAAGAGCCCCAGAGCTGTGATCAGAACCCAGAAGTCCTGAGCTTATAGCTGCTTAGATACATGTACAGTAAACACTTGTTAGCAGCAACTTATTGGTGACCTTTTGCTATGTTGCTTCTAAGCAGCTGGTGCTGTTATGGGGAGTGTCACCTGACCAGAGGCAGCCTGCTTTTTCTGAGCCGTAAAACAGCTACCGTACACACTAAATCTAGCGTTGTAACAATGCGATGTATTTATTATTGCTGCTACAGTAATACTGTAGTACACCTCCTGTCCTTCATGTGGCCTATCATATTGCATCAAGAAAGCAATACTGAGTTAATGTTATAAAAGTATCCAGTTTTATTTTTGTTTTAAGATCAAACATCAACCATGACAAACAGCCTTTTGCTCTTGTAAACATTTTTTGTACTCGCACTTAACTGGGATACTTTGTACACATTGTAAGTCACTGATAAGGACATCTGCTAAGCAAATAAATAAATAACCAGCCAACCTAAAAGTATTATTCCACATCACAGTGTTTTCTATTTATACAGTGAGGATCAACTTGTACATTAATTAAGCACGAACAAACTCACTCACTTCGGCTGAAAGAACATTGAGAAGCAGCAGAAGCAAATTAACAAACCCAGTTTTGTTTTGAAGACGGGACTCCATGTCCTGCAGACCCTGTCACCAAGTCCCGCTACCCGAGAAAAGTGCCAGAGCGTGTGCAAAGCCTTCAACCGCTCAACGTTTGTCAGACGTGGAACTTCATCAAAATCGCTCGTCCTCACTCCCTGGATTAGAATGTGTTTCATCAACACAAGCGTGTTTCTCTGGCCTTGCAGCAGCTGCAGCTCGGTAATTCCACATCGGACAGCTCTCCGAACGGGAGCAAATCCTCATCCCCAGCAGATAAGTCCTCTTTTTCCATGTTGACTGGAAGGGGAACGTTGTTCAGGGGGGGTCACTCCCATCCACGTTGGCACCGACGAGCACAGTTCCCCTGTGTCCTTTAAAGCTTTCCCTCCTCCTCGACCGGTCCTCTGGCAGAGCTCTTTGAAATAAAGTCCCGTTTAATCAGCATTGGAGACATCAGCTTGGAAAATGTGAGGAAGTTTTTCACACTGCCCCTGCTGGTTTGTCCGCTGGCTGTTTCTCACCATGCCCGTTTTTGTAAGCAACATTGAAGCATTTCTTCCATCTGGTAAACTGTCACTTGCCTTAAGATCATTCAACCCCAGGGAAGCAGCAAGCTGAAGGGGGTTTTCCTCGATTGCGGGTCCAGCAGGTAGTTCTCCCTGCGCCAGCTTCTCCTGGAACCATATAACGAGACTAGTCGACAGCAGCCGCGTTTCCCTTCATGCCCACGCTTCCAGCTGCTATCTGACTGTCCGTCTTCGTGCTTATCCTTCTGCTTCCACATTCCACATACAGCCAACCTGGGCAACTCCCACTTGGCTTTGCGGAGCCCCCAGAGCGCCACAGTCGTGGATAATCTGTACTTTTTCTTTCGGTGAGAAACTGCTTGGCATTATGTCTGGCTTTGCCACAAAAAACGGATGCAAATAAGCGGAGGCTGTGACAGCACAATGTCATAAATGTTGCTCTAATGCAGCGGCTACGTTGCGGTTACCGAGTGGACAATTCACAGCAGGGGAAGTATTCCCAGGGGAAATGTTGCAGGTAAGCGGTGGGTGCTCTTGCAAAGTGTTGCTGCCAACAAGCAACTACTGCATCTCCAGCACAGAAGTATCGGAGCGCTTCACAAACATTAGGTTTACCTTCCTCATTCTCCTGTGGGGCAGAGGCTGGCGCCCCATTTAACAGGTGGGATGCTGAGACGGAGTGACTGGCCCAAGCTCACACAGTGAGTCTTGATCTCCTGGCTCCCACTCCCCTCAGTGAGCTGGGATTAGGACTCAATGCAGCTGATCCGGAAACAAACTGTAAATATTTAGACATTTGGCCTAATCAAATCATAGCAACAGGTTTTAAAGGCCAACCCCTTTTAAACAAACAGCCCAAAGCAACGCTGAATTACTTGTATTAAGCAACCATCTCTGTAAGATGACCTGAGACCATCCTGAACTGAACATGATATATGCCATCATGTGCCAGCAATGCCCCTCTGCCATGTACATTGGCCAAACCGGACAGTCTCTACGCAACAGAATAAATGGACACAAATCTGACGTCAGGAATCATAACATTCAAAAACCAGTAGGAGAACACTTCAACCTCCCTGGTCACTCAGTAACAGACCTCAAAGTGGCAATTCTTCAACAAACAAAATTCAAAAACAGACTCCAATGTGAAGCTGCAGAACTGGAATTAATTTGCAAACTAGATACCATCAGATTAGGCTTGAATAAAGACTGGGAGTGGTTGGGTCATTACAAAACCTAAACTTAATTTCCCCAATATTAATTTCCTCCTACTGTTACTCACACCTTCTTGTCAACTGCCTGTAATGGGCCACTCACCAACCACTTCAAAAGTTACTTCTCCTCCCTTGGTATCCTGCTGTTCATTGATTTATCTCATTAGACTGACTTAACACTGGGTAAAGCACCTGCATCTTTTCACGTATTTATATCTGCTCCTGTATTTTTCACTTCATGCATCTGATGAAGTGGGTTTTAGCCCACCAAAGCTTACGCCCCAATACATTTGTTAGTCTCTAGGGTGCCAAAAGGACTCCTCGGTTTTTTTGTTCCAGATACAGAACTGCCCTCTCTAGGGAGTGCATCTAGGCTGCCATGCCCCCAGGGCAGCGACTGGGCAAGCCAAGGGCACTGCACAGCCGTGTGGGTTTCCTCCTCATCTGTCTGAGTGCAGGGATCCACTCTCCCAGCCAGGGGCCTGCCAGTCAGTCCGCAGCCCGGCTCCTAGGGACGGGATTACACTGGTCAAACCTTCCCGGGGAGGCATTTGTATGCTGGGGTGTGGGTGTGTCTGTGTGTGTCTCTGTCTTTGTAGCATTACGTGGCCGTGGCCGGGCGGCTTCAGTTGATGAAACCGGGTCCCGGCTCCGTTCGGTGGCTTCAGCCCCAGCCCCGGAGGCTTCCGAGGACTGAGAAAGTTCTTCACAAGGCGCTGGCAGGAGAGGCCCTGGCACGGCCCGCGCCTCCCCGGGCTGTCACCCGGCACGGGGGGGGGCGGGGGGACTCCGGATTCGCGCCTTGTCAGTGTAAACGGCCCGGCCGCCGGACTCCCTATTGCCGCGGCGCGCTGCAGCGGGGAGTTCCGCAGGCCGACCCCGCCTGGGCAGGGGAGCATCTGAGCCCTTCTCCCCCCCCGCCCCACAGGCGGCGCCAGGGACCCAGGAGTCCGGGGCGCCGAGGTCAGGGGTCACAGGTCACGAGCCCCAGGGACGGCTGGGCAGGACCCGGCTGGGGGGGGATGGGCCGTTACCTGGCACTTCCTGCTCCGCGCCCGGCCCGGAACTTCTCCGACCCGAGGTCACCGGCCCGGAAATCCGGTGACGATTCCTGCGTCCGGACGTAACCCTCATACCGGGAGGATGGACCTGTGACGCAGTGCCCCGGAAGCGAACCGGATACTTCCGGCCCCGCCCACACCGACGGGATCAATACGGGAGGCTGC